ATGAGACAGGACCTAACTCAACTGAGTTAGTTCTGGAACAAAATGTTTAATTATGGTCTTCTGATGTAGACCAAACTAGACCAAACAGCAGGGCCTATTATGCCAAAATTGGTGCGAACACTGATTCTGAGGGTAAGCTTAGCCTAACTTCCCAATTGTGATCAGTTTGGTATTTAAATAGATGATTTTAAAACATTAAAAAAAAAAAAACCCACTTTCAGGCAGTAAAAGAGATTAACTCTAGGTTTTCATACATCTTTTGGCTTTTTCTCACCAAGCTCACTAACACAGAGTTAGTAATTAATAACTTCCTCCCCTAGCAGAGGGCCGTCTGTCAGTAAGATACCTCAAGATATTAACTGAATTTTTAAAAGTGATCTCCACCATTAGAAGCTTGGTGGTTGTTTGCAACGACCCTTTCCCAAAAATTGAGAGCAAGCAGCTCTGCTTCCCAGAGCGAGGCCCTTCCCTGCGAGCCCCTGCGCGCAGGGCCGCAGCCTCCCCAGCCTTTCTGATGCTCAGCGTGACAGGCACAAAAGGGACACAGCACTGCAGGGACTGAAAGAACTGAAGAGAGGGAAGCAGAAAGTCAAAATCTTCATAGCTCCAAGGCTGAAACCAGCCTGCGCTTTGCTTCAGCTCTTACTAATTCGAGCGCCAAACTCTGTCCCTTGGTTCTCATCTTCTAACCACAGTTTAAATAAACAAAACCCTCCACACCTCTAGCAATAAATATTTTGCGGAAAAATAAAACCTACAGTTTAATTACTTCTGGGAAATACCCAACAAACACTGCTTAAAAAGGAAGGAAATCTGTGTGACTGACTCCCAGCATTTTCTTTTTTATCTTCAGATCATGTCCTTCACCTCGCCGTGGAAGGACTTTCTATTATACTTTGGAGGATCCTATATTGCTTTTGGAAACAAAGTGTCCAAGGCCAAGGGAAGTTCCTCTTTTTTAAAATGTGATGTCATGTTACAGCCTGTTTCTTCCTATTGTTACACTCATTAACATGGCACCCATCATCTCCATATCTGAAGGGCACAGGTCCAAGAGACACATCAGTACACAAGCCAACAGCCGCACTGAAAATGGCTCTGAACAGCACAAGATAACTTAAGAGCAATTAAGTTTATTAGAAAAAAATAAAAAAGCACTAGGGTGACAAAAAAGCACAGGGAGTAATGAGCTATTGAAGATTAAGAAATAAAATAAAGACAAACCTAATGTGACCTGATGAATAGTTTTCTGTAATGGGAAAGTTACTGTTTTAATTCTTTGACATACCTACTTAAAACCTAATTTTCATAATCTTTCCATCATCCCGACCAACTGTGAAACCCCATGAAACACAAGATGAGAGGTATCTAAGGAGGTAACAGCAGATACCCAGGGCTGAGGAAAGGCACCAGCCTTGGTTGGTGTCAGACGCCACGGCAGAATCTGCCCCAGGAGTCTAATATAAAAACCCTGGAGAGGTTGCATCACCCCACTGCTCTGTCACAAAGTAAATTCCTTCCCACTGGACAACAGAAAAAAAGAAAAAGAAAAAGTAAAAAGAGAAGCCCAAGGTTTAAAAAAAAAAAAAAAAAATCCTGTTCCTTCACAGAAAGATCGGTTTGGCCCTCAGGGTCTAGAGCAGGTATTTCAGCTCTCCTCCAAGACATTTTATCAAGACATCCATCATGCCCCCAGCTGCAGAAATTTGCCAACAACTAAAAGAAATAGATTTCAGCCTTTGATTTAAGCTACATTAGGACAGAATATTTTTGCCCCCGAAACTACAAAGCCAGACTTGCTTGTCAGGTTACCCAAGGCTGTAGTGCGCACATGTTTAAGTGTTTACGGAGCTACTCTTGTGCACTGCCAGAGCTCAGCTTAAGCTCTCTTCAAAAATGTAATTTTTTCGGAAGGGCAGTTAGTTTGCCAGCCAATCCCCTCCTCCCCTCCTATCTTGAACTTTTCATGGGGCAGAAAAATCTCACAGTAATCCAGGTTTTCCTTGCAATCTTTCTCTATAAAATTGAAACAGCATAAATATGAGCTTATAAAAAAAGTCTGTGTACTAGAAGCACATCAACTTAGATAAGTATCTACATGCATCCAGTCAGTAAGAGAAGGCAGAGACACAGAACAGTTTCTTTGAATATTGATACAGGCCAGTTTCAGTAGAGTGACTAACATGTACATCCTCAATCTATTAGCCAGGAAATGAAAAACATGCACTCTTACAGCTCAGATTTGAATGAGCATCTTTGTGGATCACAATATCTAACTCAGTTTTTAGAGAGATACTAACACATTAATACATTAAAGAACAAGAACAGAAAGGGAAAAAGACCTCCACAGAGATTCTGTCTAGACGTGCTCCATGCCACATAAGCAGTGCTGAAGCTCCTGGTAAGTGAACACAAAACCTGGAGCAGCAGCAGTGTCAGGGCAGGGCTGATGGAGCAGCAGGACCGTGGGCTCTCCTGCAGCAGCCTTGACTTCAGAGACATACAGTGCTGGCTGGAAAAATATATAAAAATCATCACCCCAGGGAGGTGGCATGCTGCCCCCTGCCTCCCCCAGGCTTCACCACAGGCACGCACAGATTTTATTTATAATTCTTAGTTTTACTTGTACTGTGGGAAGTGCTTGAACACTCAACCTGAACAAGAGAGGGTGCTGTGCCCCGGAGACGCGGGGCAGCCTGGGGCACCTCGGCCGCCCCATCTGCCACCGCCTTCCCCACGTGCTCAGGGGGAGCCTGCTGCTCGTGCCAACCATCTGCCAGCTACAGCTGCAAACCCTTGCGTTTACCTCTGACTGCAAAGCGTAATTACTGCTGGGGTTAACCTGTAACTCTTAACAGAAAACCTCTGCAAAAACTCTATTTAAATAACCTTCATCAAGCTCTCCTTCCCAGCTGTAACTGTTTGCCCAAGATACCTCTCTCCTCCCCTCACAGTCCGTCAGCTCCTATTGCTCACACCTCACTGTAATCCCTTTCATACTCTGGAAAGGGCACAAAAGCTCATCATTTTCATTAAGAATTAAGGGCAAAAAAAAAAACAGGACAGCCATAGCTAGAAAGCCTGAAGCACTTAATCCTCCCCTGACTGTTACTTTCTGTTCTCTTTTGCTCTCCTCTGGTGTAGATGGTGGGACAGAGCAATTTAAAAAAGCAATAGGTTTGAAGGTAGCCCTGCCGTGAGCAGGGGGCTGCATTAGACGACCTCCAGAGATCCCTTCCAGCCCAAGTCATTCTATGACTGTTTATGAATAAGTATCCAAGCAAATATGAGGCCACAAAGATATTAAGAGTTCACTTCAAGAACAGCTGCCAATAGAGAAAAAAAGCACAGAACAGGAAAGCAAGAAGGAAGGAAAATATCCACACAAATTTCAAGACACATGCACTGACGTTTCTGAGTACTGGTTATCTTTCTAGCAGTGGTGCTACATTTGGCAACACTTTTTTAAAATAGCATTTTTTAATTAAAGGTGGCATTGGGAGGCAAGTTACCTTGCCTGCTCAAAAACAATCTCCTCAGCAACAAAATGGAATTGTGACTGTGATAAATCAGAATTGTTTAATTGATCTCACTGGAACTTCTTCTAAAATAGATTTTTATGAATTTAAAGTGATTAATACTTGGCGCTAAGTAACCTCTCTTAGTCAACACCAGTACTCAAATACACAAACCCCAGACACTTGGACACACCCTGTATTGCTAAAATTCAACTATAATGGAACTACTGCAAAATCTTATCATCAAATATTATTTAATAATCAAAGTTACTAATGCTGGACAGATGCCTTCAGGAGGTCAGCCCCAGAGAATGTCCCGCAAGGTTTGAGGGCTCAAAACAACATAATTTTCCATGTAGATGATGAAAGGAAGCCAGATTGTAACATATTTAATCATTTGGCCACATCTCTTCCAAACTGGTCATCTTTTCCACAATGAGGACATCTCAGATTTAAGCGAGACATCTGTCCACTTTTCCCACTACCTCATTTTGCCTGACTATGTATCCACTTGGCCTCTTCTCCAATGACCCATGATGTATACAAGCTGGACACGAGCAGCAGCTGCCCCTTGGAACCAAAGGAACAACTTGGACAAAGCAAGCATACAAAAAAATCATAATTGGATTTGTGTATCTCTTGAAGAAACTACAGTATAAGATAGATCTGTAGACTGCTTGTTTCTCAATTCTCTGTTAGGAGAAACTGTTGCTGCAACCCATCACTGTTAAGATACACATACAGGAAAAATGTGGGAAACATACCACCGTATAGAGATGCATCTTCCTAACCTATTACCATTAACAAAATTATTATTAAAAGATTTTTACAATCACCACTGACAGCTAGCTTCGCAATAGATTAAACAACGATAAGGAATGACATCAGAAAAGTTTAGGATTGGAAAAGAACAGGATGCTCTTGGTGACCTTTTAAGATCCCTTTGCTGAGATTTTTTTCCAGAAAATAAGTGATCAGAAATGTATCTGCAGATTAGATGCTTACCGAGAAGCCCGGCTCTGTAGCGACCCCAGCTCAGGTTCTGAGGCAAGAGCAGCCTCAGCAGCACAGCCGCACGAGCACGTCTGGCCTCTCAACATGCCTAACAGTTTGGCCTCATCGTGCTGACAGAGCAGTCCTGCTTCCATTTCCACAGGTTTCTGTGGTCCCCACCTTCAGCATGCAAACTATGCAATGTGTGCAAGTGTGTGAGCACTTGCATGTGTTTAAGATAATTCACACAAGAGATTACTGCTATACTGCCCCTCTTTGAAGATCTGAAATAGGACAATAGGCAGAAGAGAGCTCTTACAGAAATAGCATCTTTTTTTACAACGGCATAGTGGAAATCATGATCACAATTTTGTATTTACATCTTGGCTTTATATAAACTTCAGCTGACCTACATTTTCCTAACACTAACAACCATTTTTGATCAATAATTCTAAACACATACGATATGATTTACATAATGTCACCTACCTGCAGCTGCTAAACACAAAATCATCAAAGTGAACACTGGAGTTGCATAACTTGAAGACATTTTTGCAAACACTGTCTTCTGAAATCAACTCCCTTTGCAGCTCTTCATGTAGATTCACTTCCTTTGAAAGTTGTGGAATATGTTTTGAAACCAAATCTTCCAGACTTTAATTGCCTACAGGAAAAAAATAAGAATACATTTTAATATGAATATACTTTACAGAAATGTTTCTAGCGGTCTTAAATTCTGTTGTATCAAGAGAAAGAATTCTTAAAGGAATATTACAGAAGTGCATTTAATAATGCCAAATATCCTAGAGAGCAATAGCTTAGCACTCTTTGCTTCCTGTATTTCAGTATGCCTTCACAGGCGCTGCTGTTTTGTATCACCCACTGTGCAAGTAGTGGTCTGCTTGGAAGGGAAATCCCAGAGTCCTTTCCCCTAACAAATACTGAAGCCCTGCTGAGGCCTGGGAACAGACCCAATGGGCACAGGTAAGTTACCTTTTAAATATTCAGACTTTCCCTAGGTCACTGAAAACATTTGCTTATTTATTTTTCAAGTGTGCTCTAGTTGCTTTAGAGGTAACATATACGTCTGATACATTTCTCAGTATTGCACATTCTGAAAACTTCAAGCTTCCTTGACACCAGATATAAAGCCATATACGTCTGATACATTTCTCAGTATCGCACATTCTGAAAACTTCAAGCCTCCTTGACACCAGATATAAAGTTGTTGAGAATCTTTAAGAAATTTCAAAACTTGATATAACCGGCCAGTAAGGAACCATAAATGAGCTGTACAAATAACTGAGAATGCAATGGATGCCCACATGTATTTGGGAACATGAATAATTCTAATGCCAAAATGCCTGTAAACAAATTCTGAGAGAAAACATTCAATAAATTACCTTTTTTTAAGCTAGTATCAACCATCTAGTTGCCTAGAACACAGCAATGGACTGTGTAAGGCAGCAATCAGAATGCTGATAACAATCAAATAAAAAACGAATCTATTTTACTTCATGATCAGCCTTCAGGAGGGGATGCAACACTCACCACAGAGCAATGAAAATTATTGCAAACAATGATCACGGGGGTAAAGGATGGAAAAACGCTGAGGCAGGACCACATTTTCAAGAGTGAAAGATTATTATCATTCAAAAGGTACCTGCTGACATTTTAAATGGCCTGAAATACAAAGTCAGGCAAAAAATAGGGCTAAACTATTATATGATGTGTGCCACATGCTCGATGAACAAACAGTGCTGTCTACACAAGGGAAATCTGCAGAGACCTGCCCCAGAGACACTTGCGGACAACTTGGCTGCTGCTGGGAGGGAAGTGCCGAGCCCTTGCAGCCCCTCTCCGGGTGCCGCTCCGTGCTGGCAGCGCTCCACGGTGCCCCAGGTCCCGCCGGCACAGGAGGGGAACACCCGCTCCAGGGCGCTGCGCTCTGCAGGCTGCGGAGCCCCCGCACAGGCACCCACCCAGCGCCGCGCCACAACTGCTCCACACCAGCGCAACGCGCACGGCGAGGGCCGAGCTGAACACCCACCAGAACACGGCGCTCCATGCAGCGCACTTTCCAGCTCAGCATCCGAAGTCTGAAGCACGTTTCTTTGCATTTGCTACATGCTTGCTTGCAGCACTTGGTAATTCAGGCCGCAGCTCCATAACCGATACTCTCCCCCCTCCACTTTCCTTGTCCTCCCCTCCAGTGGCTTAGAAACATTCCCTAGAAAAGGGCAGTGAATGCAGGAGGCCCCTAGAGAAATTACAGCTCTAGTAATTCTGCCTACCAGTCATTATTCTTCATCTGCACTGAGGCTGCAGAAAATGAGTTTATTGTTGACTCTGAAGAGGGACATATACCCAGATTTCATTTACACACTGCAAAAGAGGTATCTTGTTATCTGATATTCACAAAGTGATGTATGTTTAGAGATCCCAAAGTAGAGATTCCTTTCCATTACAATTAGATTATGAGACTATTGTTCTCTGTGAAAACACTTAGTTATAATGATCTAAAAACTCAACCTCACCAAATGAGGATCTGTGAAACTATCCAGGGATGTTTAAAATACCTTTAGCTGCCAAAACCAAAAACGCATTTTGATTCTTCCCACATATTATGCTTTTTAAAGTGGACTCTAAATTCAAGAGTAGATACTAAGTCACTTACGAGAAGATTTTTCTTTCAATTAATTATACAGAATCAGCCATTCAGGTGCCACCACCAGTTCTATATGCTTTGCTTGCTGCCACTTAAACATTTCTGCTAGTGAGACCGCACACTTCATCATTTATAAGACAGGCTCTCCAGCACGTGTTACTCTTTCACTGTTTGCTAGGAACAACACAGTCAAAAAAAATGTTAAGGCAGCAATGCTAGATCACACAACACGTTTAGAGTTCCACACGCTGCAATGCATTTCTGTCACCAATGGCAAGACAAAAAACAAGCAGGCCCAAGGAGCACAGTCCTCCTTAAAACCCCAAATCCTGATTTACCCAAAGATTTCTTCTATAATTAAAAAATAATAATAAATAAATAAATAAACCCCCCCACACACACACACACACTCTCAGTGCTGGAGACTGCTCAAAACAGGAAAGCCTCATAAATTGATGACTTCCTTGGACTTACAAGGTTTGTAGAAACTATTCATCCCAAACCTGAACTTTTTGGTAAATTAAGGCCAACTTTCTGATTCTAGTAAACAGAAATAATAAATTGTTGACAAGAACATTACACAATCCTTTAACACAGATGTTTTGAACATGAAGATCCAAATCAAATTGCTTTAACGCCAAAAAGGCAAGCCATAAAGAATTTATGACAGACTGAACATCATTTCAGAAGTCAAATGTAAGCTGGAATCCTTTAGAATCAATTCTCTAGATGACGAGAAAACTAAATCCATTCAGTGAGAGTATTTTGCTGCTAACAACTTTTAAGTGCTGCTATAAATACAAATGAACAAATACAGCAAATAAGGTTTCTAGCTATAAAAGATCATCATAACTTGCTGCAAGATGTCATATGTGCAAACAGGCAATGAATGAGCACTCCAAAACTTCAGTTACTGATACATATTCACAAACAACAATGAACAGAAAGAAACCAGAAAAAAGAGCAACTAGAACACATGCTCAATACACTAAACAGGAAAATACAGGATATTAGTTGGATCACTTTCATGAGCACAAATCTCTCTTCAGCAACATTTTTATAAGGCTCTGAGCTCTGCAGAAACAGGAAGCACAGGGCAAGAACTGGACACAAAGCCATGCTGAGCACCCCGCTCTATACTAACCACCCTTTAAGCGGATGTGAAATGGCTGTGTTTTCAATTAACTGATTTGGGGAGGCAGATTTGAAAAGCTAAGAGAACACACACACACACTCCCATCTCCAGATAAATGGGATGAGTGGTTCTGCTTCTACTACAATGCCCTGATGGATAACATTTACAAGATAGAACCTGGAGTAGAGGACACACAAAGAAAAAAAAGAAAGCTGTAACCTAAATTATTTATCCACAATAAACAAAACTGTTAGTAAACTTGAGACTCGAGAGAAATTTCCAAGAGAATCATCTTCTCCTTTGGGGTATTTCTAGGTAGCTATTTTTGTAACTGAGGTCATTAAAGAGCACATTAAAAACATAACCAAAAATCCCAAAGAGGAAGAGATGACACGAGAGTCCCCAGATTAGTAAACAGACCACTAAATCCAAACTTTTATACTGCAAGTTGTAAGAATATTGGGGCATCTACAACTGGAGTCACTGAAGAGTCGAAGAGGAAGTCTAGCAGCATCATTTTCACTGCAGTTTGCTGCTGTGAAGACCATTAGTCCTGACAAAAATGAAGGCCTAAAGAAACCACCCAAGAACTTGCTTTACTGAGAAGTATCATTTTACAAAAGCAAACTGGAAAAAGTCCATCAACTGAGGTCACCCAGGAAAAACCTTAAAGGCAGATTTTTGCAGGTTTAAAAAGAGGGGGAAATAAACAAATATACAGTGAAGCACAAAATGGAAGTGACAAAAAGGGGAGGAAGTCTGAGATTTTCATTTGTTTTCAAGTAGGAATATATAATGTCCATGTGCATTTGCTATAAACAAGTGAAAAATATGTCACTTCTGCAGAACCCTGGGACATGCCACACAGCCTGTTAGCAGGGCCAGCCACAGACAGACCCTACAACTGCGTGTAGGAGCATTTGCTATTTTCGACCTTAACTCTTCAGTGATATTTAAAAGAATCTTGTTCTGTCAGAGCAGAGCAGCAGTAAGTACAAAACACAAAGCCCTTCTCTACACTGCTGTCACTTCTCTACCTCTCATTTGCTGGAGAGCTAAAAATAAAAAGTGACTAAAAAACAGCCCTGCAATATTATTACAATTAGGCGGCATCTGTGAACACTGGAGCACCTTTTTACTCAGTCTGTTTCTGTACTTCTGGCTAAATAACTACCACATACTAATCCTCCTGGGATTTGTCCCCCTACCTTCAGGTTTTTACCCACTTTCCTCCTCCTGATAAATTTACATTTGTCTACTTTTTTCCTCACCTCCCCAGTGAGGTCCAGCCTGGCAATAAAAGACATCTGCAGGAGACCACAGCCACAAGCTTGGGGTGTTTCCGTTTCCTATTACGGGCTTCCACGCATTGCAGTTAGCCACATTTATTGCTGAACTGGGTTCTCATTGCTTTATTTTCCCCTTGACTTCTGTTCCTTTAAGCCTTTTCCCCCAAAGTCACCATCTGTTTCTTTAATCGCCACCTACCTTTCCCACAGAAATCCTTCCTCTGCCTTAACTCTATCATCCTCCTTGTCTAACCTTTTCCTTCACTGCCTGAAGGATAACTTCCACTTCCTCTTTTCCTTATCAACACGGACACTAGTAATTCTCTCTTCTTTCCATGCGCAAGGCTAGAGGTTACACAGCTGCTGGACCGCTGCTCACAAACACTTCTGCACCCAAGCGAGCCAGAGCTCGTGCTCCTCAGTCACGGGAGACGTCCTCCGCCAGCGGGATACTCGAGCCAGGCCAGCAGGACACGTCCCCTTGTGTTGTTTTGCCATAGCAACGTGAAGCCAAGTTCCTGGGCTATCCAAGAAGGCCTTCACAGCCAAAAGTTTTTCACTTTTTGTTTGTT